TAACCAGCCAGCTATCATTTTAAATAGCTGCATACTCTTCTGTGCCATAATTTATTTAACTGATCTCCTGCTGTTGGACTTAAAGGAATTTTTAAACATTCTTTTTTAGATTCTTCCTTCTCTTTCTATCACCACCACCAATTCAGTAGTCCAGCTGGCTATTGAGTCAATCCTATGTGATCCCAGCAGACCTCTAAATGATGTCCCTTCCCCATTGTTTCCCCTTCCACCCAACGTCCTCATGACTGTCTGAAGGGTGTTCTTAAATCACTGCTTTCCCAGTAGCCCAAGAATGGCTCCATCTTGACTTTGCCTCTGGTTCAAACACCTCAGCCCTTTTTAAAAAAATGTTTCCCCAAATCAGTCCCTATTTAATCTTCGTCCACTTTCTTCCCAATCTGGGGAGCTAGTCAAGTGTACGTGTGACCTCAGCACATACCATACTCGTTTCTTTCTGGGCTCAGCTGGTGCCACTGGTCCTGTTGTTAATGCCTCTTCTCATTCCATTGAATGCTTCCATCTCTTCATTTAGTGAGGGCCTGCTCACATCTCTTAAGCTTCATTAAGTTCCCAAGATTATGCTTGCCTGGATAGGTTTTTGCCTTTCTTTGAGTTTGTGTTCCAGCGAGATGGGACCACATAGTTCATGAGGCAGTAAGAAAACAACTAAGCCTGTGTCCCTAACTGGATAGACTTAAAGGGTAGGAACCATGTCTGAAACATCCCAGTCACACTGGCCATCTGACAGTGCCTGGAACACATTTGTTTCTTTCCCATTTCTTTGCTTTGTGCTTCTGTCCCTCCTTCAACTCATCACAGCTGGCTCTTTCCTGATATTCAGATTTGGTGTAAATGTCACTTTTTTGGAGAGGTCACCCCTGATCCCTATCAGAAGTAACTCCATTACTTCTATCATAGCATCCTGCTTGTTTCTTTCAAACCCTTTATCCCAAGCATCCTCACCCGTTTCTTTACACACTGATTTCCATCTTCCCCACTACATCCCACCTCCAGGAGAGCCCATCTTGTTCACTGTTTACCCCTAGCACCTGCACAGTGCCAGGGTGCTCAGTAAGTGTTTTCTGAATGAGTTGACGAGACTGGATGGAACGGGGAAGGAAAAGGGAGCTGTCAGGGGGGTCCTTTAAATCTTTGGCTTGGGAAATTGAGCTGATGGCAGGTGGTGCTAGTCACTGAGCTTGAGAGTTCTGGAAGTGCACACATGGGTGGGGTAGGGGGAGCAGAGAGCATGACTTCTCTTTTGTACCTGTTTGAGTGGCCTCTAAACTATTTAAGTAGAATATCCAGAGGTGGTTAAATATATGGGCCTAGAGCTCAGGAGTGATGTTTGGGCACCACCCAAATAGTAATAGCTAGCATGGTTAGACATGTGATAAGTGACTGAGCCAGGATTTGAATCCAGTTGGTCTGTTTCCAATGTCCACTGCACCACTGTGCTGAGATAAGCATGGAAGGGACACAAAACCAAGATAAGTTCTTCACCTTTGAGGAGCTTATTGTTTCCTGGGGAAATAAAACATAAATACTTATAACTTACCATACTTGACAGGCTTGCATAAGGGTCCTGTTACTTTGAGTTGTATCCAAACCTGTCAAGTATGGCAGTTATTTGGTTAAAATGAGGACGTGGTGTCGGCTATCTCCTCCTGTGATTCCTGAAGACTCAGGGTCATGTGACCTTGATAATTCATGAAAAGGAGCTAAGGATGTTGGAAATGCAAAATGCTCTCCATAGATCATCATTTATTTTGGAAACATCATTCATAACCCTCTGGGACTGGAAAACAGGAAACTGAAATACAGTAAAAGAAAAAGAAGACAGTGATTTCTAAATCTATTGAAGAAAGAAAAGGAGTTGAGTCAGGGGATACTCAGGGATTCCCAGAAGGATGACTGCACAGGGTTAGAATAGGGGTTGAAAAATGTACAAGAACAGAGAGTAAAATGCCACCCCGGTGCATCCAAATGGGTCATTTGAATAAGTGGGGTGGTCACAGCTTCTGTTGGCTCTAGGCTCTGTGCAGACAGTGACTTTGGGCAGAAGCCAAGCCAAGCCTCTAAGTTTTGAGGGCTGCTGCTTGGCCTGGAATTAGGGATGTTTTAATCACCTCCTCTTTGCCTCATTGGTGAGGGAAGTATTCCCAGCCTAGGGTTACAGGGATGACTGAACACACAACACCCAACACTGGACAGATGAACTGGCAGCAATCTATTAGTCACATATACTCACAGCTCAGGGGAGGAAGACATCCCATGCAGGACACACGGGAGTCACTCTCAGAAACAGAGTGAACAACCAGAACCAGTGGCAGGCAGGCTCTGTAGCATTAAGAGGGTGAGGTGCCCCCGGTTCCCATTGGAGGATGTAATTGGCTCATTTGGCCAATTCCATGGGCTGATGGGGAACTCAAACCCTGCTCATGGATGAACAGAAACTGAATCTGGTCCATCTGATAAGGAAGGTTGTTTGATGAGGTGACCTCTTCCAAGGGAGGCCTGGGGAGAGAAACCTGTGGTTGGGCTATTCTAGGCCCTCCTGATGTCACCAGATATCATGACAGCACGTACTATTCAACCTTTATTTCAGGCCTTCCGCAAAGTGTGGAATGCCTCCGTGGGTTCTGTTGACTGCCCTGCATCTCTTGATTTGATACACTTGTGCCCCTGATCTGAAACTCAACAAGCTGTCTTATCTCCACCAATGTGGGACAGGGGATACTTTAAAAATCAAGGCACACCAAAGCATTTCCATTTTTTTCCCTCAGCTGGTCTTTTTGTGACTTCCCAAGAGCAAGAGGAAGAGAAAAAAGAGAATCAGTCCATTTGGCTGTATATTTAGGGAAAATGTTTCATGGAATAGGGAAACACTGAAAGGAAAATTAAAGTCATATCTACCACCATTCCTAGTTCATTTTCCACATAGCGATCAGAGTGATCCTTTAACAATGAAACATGATCTTACCAGGCTTCTGATTACAAGCCTTCAATGACTTCCTATTGGCCTTAGGATAAAGGTTAACTCTTTACCATGGCCTACAAGGCTGTATGCAGTCTAGCCCCTGCCTGCTTTTCTAGCCTTGTCTCATGCCTTACTTCCCTATATTATTTATGGTACAGTCATATAAGTCTTCTCCAAGTTCTGCAAACTGGTTATGCTTGTTCTGCCCCAGGACCTTTGTACATGCTATTCTTTCTGCCTAGAATGTTCTTCCTTCCCCTCTTCACCTAGTTAACTAGTACTTATCTTTCAGATTTGAGCTACAGTGTTCCTTCCTCAGGTAGGACTTCTCTGATCTCCCCAAAGAGGTTAAATTCCCCTATTAGAGGCTCTCAGAGCATTATTTGCCTTCTTCACCATGATACTCATCACAAGTTGCAAGTTTACATTTGCTTGAATTATTTGATTTGATATTTGTTGTAGTCCATTTTGTATTGCTATAATAGAATATCTGAGACTGGGTAATTTATAAAGAAAAGAGGAATATTTGGCTCACGATTCTGGTGGCTGGATAGTCCACGATTGGGCAGATGCATCTGGTGAGGGCCTCAGGCTGCTTCCAGTCATGGTGGAAGGTGGAAGGGGAGCCGGAGTGTGCAGAGAGATCACATGGTGAGAGAGAAACCAAGGTGCCAAGCTCTTTTTAACAACCCACTCTTGCAGGAACTTATAGAATGAGAACTCACTCACCTACCCCAGGGAGGGCAGTAATCTACTCATGAGGGATCTGGCCCCATGACCCAAACACCTCCCACTAGGCCCCACCTCCCAACACTGCCACATTGGGGATCAAGTTTCAACATGGGTTATGGAGAGGACATACAATCAAACCATAGCAATGTCCATCTACTCATATCTCCATGAGAGCAGCAAACTTATCTATCATTGGTCTCCAGTGAGTGCTTCAATGAATGAATATTTGTTGAATGAATATGTCAGTAAATGAGTTAACTGTAATTTGGGAACCTTCTGGAAAAAAGGAAGTAAAGAGAAGACTTACATAAACAAGTTATATGTTATTTTTATTATCAAAACAATCACGTTAAGAACATCCACTTTGCCAAGCTAAAATTAGGAAGGGTTTAAAAAACGGTTCCCTCTAAAGAGAGAAATTGCAAGTCCATTATCAATTCTACAAGAAATCAGCCTGTCTACAGCAAGAAAGCAGATCTCTCTGACACTGAATTGAAGAGTAAATACTGTGCAATGACCATAACAGAAGAATGTATTTAAGTATAAGAAAATAGATCCTACAAAATATGACTCTCATTGCCTTTGGTGATGACATTATTTTATGCAGTAGCTAAAAATAAAAAAATAGGAAGTGTTGGACATTTTACATGCAGTTGAAGTAACACAGCACCCTTTCTCCCAGAGCATCTGTGGGGAAGGTGAGGAGACGGATCCAGGAATTATTTATCATTCCAAATTCTGACTCCATCTGGGGCCTCAATGAGATGATAGAAACACACTAGGAATAAGGCACCAAAAGTGAAGGTAAAAAGGCCCAGAGGCCATCGGAATGGAAATCTGTAACAGTTATTTAGAGTTCTTGGAGTAAAACATTTCAATTCCAAAGAAGTCATATATAATCTACTTTTCAAAAATATCTGTGACAAGATAGTTAAAAACGAAAGTTTTATCTGGTTTCATTAACTTGATTCCTGAGTTTAAAGCCAGATAAAACCATGGATCAAAAAAAAAGTTTTTATTCATGCTGTTTTACATTAATACAGTAGAAAGCTGCTGTTTTTAAAGAAGTATCAAAGTGGTAAATCATTAGGGCCGGCCCGGTGGCACACTGGAGAGTGCGCCGCTTGGGAGTGCGGCGGCGCTCCCGCCGAGGGTTCGGATCCCATGTGGAGACCGGTTCCCGCTCACTGGCTGAGCGCAGTGCAGGTGCAACACCGAGGGTTGCGATCCCGTTGCCGGTCAGTAAAAAAAAGACAAAAAGGTAAAAAAAAAAAAGTGGTAAATCTTTAGAGTATGTATAAAAAAAATTCACAATCCATCATCAATGACAGTATTGAATAGTGTCCTTTAAACTATTTATTATTTAAAATAGTTGTTTCGAAATAAATAGCCAACTCTAGGGACAAAACCATGAAAAGGAAATCCTGAAGCAGGATCCTAATACCTGCAACTATTCATTTTCATATTCTTAGCGGATGATGTATAGAAATGGTGAAGGTTTGGGTGGGGGTTGCCATCCAGACTAAACCAGTTCTAACTGGCTGCAAAATACAGGATGTTAAATGTCTCAAGGTAGCTTTTTCTTGTTTCTAACAACAGTAGCTTGTGAGGAGGATTGCAGTGTATCAGGTAGCTTGGCAGTTAGGTTTGATGGATTGCAGGGCTGGTCTGGTGAGTTACCCTATTTGGTCTTCTGCCCTCCTAGAACTGACCAGTAGAAACCTTGGTTACTGAGGGGCTTCAGGGATGGTTGGGACTCCCTAAGAACCTTAGAACCAGGGCTTGCTCTCTGTCCCAGTTACCTCTTGCTGTGTAACAATCCCAAAACTTAGTGACTTAAGGCAGCAGTGTGGTTCTCTGGGTTGACTGGGCATTTCTCTGTTGGGGTGTCTCTAGCAGTTTCAATCATATTTTAGTAGGGTCTGGAATCACCTGAAGGCTTCTCTCCCATGTTTGGTGACTGGGCTTGGATAGCTTGAAAGCTGGGGGCTGGTCAGGCACTCTGCTCTCCATGTGGCTGCTTGGCTTTCCTCACAGCAGGGTGGTCTCAGTATTGTTGCTTTTACATGGGGGTTGGCTTCCCCCACAGCAAGAATTCCAAAGGACAGAAAGTGGAAGCTGCCAGCCTCTTAAGACCAAGATCCTGAAACTAACAAAGCATCATTTCCATTATTGGATAAAACAATCAGAGCTACCCATACTCAAGGGGAGGAGACAAAACCCTCAGGTCTTGAGGGACAAATGTCAAAGAATTTGTGGCCACCCTTAATCCTCCACATTCTCCAATCAGGACCCAAAGGGTTCGTTCTTAATTGGACATTATCCTAGTCTGGCCTCATAATGAGATGCTTTGCATTCAGGTAGCTCTTTATACATTAACACGACAGTTTGTATACACTGTCTCAATTTTTCCTCAAGATATCTTGGGTTACAGGGAGACTGAGGTTCAAAGGTTAAAGGCCTAGGGTCATACAACTTCCTAGGGACAGAATTGAGACTTACATTGGAGTCTCTTGACTCAGTCCATGTGGAGGGATTCTCACTTGTTTGTTTATTTAACCAGGTTACTCTGCTCTCTGACACACATAGAGCAGTAGGAGAGGAAAACATATTTCCCTTTGGCTGAAAATTCAGCCACAGATCTTTGCAGGTGAAGCCCAGGTTTCTTGCAAAGGTAACATTAACTTGACAGCTGCAGCCCCATGCTGTCAGTATGGATTTTTGAAGCCACTGTATTGCCCTTCACTCTTAGGAAACTCTCTCCGGATTCTCCAGCGGCAGCAGCTGGGCAGGATGGCAAAGTCAGCCATGTCCTGGGAGGCGAAACGCCAGGTGGTATAGCACCTGTAGGCGCAGCGCCGCAGCCGGCTGTTGGTGGAATCTGCGTCCAGCTCCAGCAGGGGCTCCTGGTAGAGCAGGAGAAACTGCAGGACACGTCTGGACAGGACGAGCTTCCTGAATAGCTCAGAGGTGGTGATGCAGGGCCCCGGCTTCTTTCGGCAGCAAAGCTCCTCTATGCATCTGTGGCTATCAGGAAGCTGGGATGGGAGGCAACTTCCGCACTGGCACCAGCCTGGACTGTCTCTTGATCTAGGAGTCACTTCTTCATTAAGCGGCTGCATCTCCTCTGGTTGACCAGGAATGGGGGGTGGGTCATGGAGAGACAGGGGCAGCTTGGACAAGTCCGAGAAATCCATCAGAGGTCTCTGAAAAATTCAAGTTTCCAAACCTATGAGCAACTAGAACCATCAGCTAGAACATATGCCTGCCTTACAACTCAGCACTTCCACTCTTAGTTTCTTTAATTTCATTATTATATAACTACACTGAATATTACTTTAGTTATAGTAGCTATCGTTTATTAAATGTAGGTAGCAAGACCATGCTTGTGTTTTACAAGCATTGCCTCATTTAAGTCTTTGAAGAACCTCATGAGATATATATCCTTGTCTCCATTTTACAGATTTGGAAAGTGAAATTCAGAAAAGCCAGGCCTCAATTTAAATATCACCTCTTGTTCTGACCACCCTATCAAGTAGCTCCCCTCCCGGGTGATTCTTTTATCACACCATGATATTCTACATTCTTCATAGAACTTTTCCCCATCTGAAATGATCTGATTAATTTCTATTAATAAGATTAATAAGATGATGTACTTGATGATAGTTCTTCCATATGGAAGCAGGGACCTTGTCTGCTTTGTTTACTGCCATATCCCCAATACCTAGGACAGTGCCCAGGTCAGTGCCCACCACACAATAGACAGTAAGTATTTGTTGACTTATCCCCACTCTCCTTTCCTGCCAGCCTCCCTCTACTGGCAAATCCATTTGTTGCCCTGCAAAGGAAGTTGTCATAATTGCCATGTCTGTTCTTTGTGACATATACTTTCATTCACTGGATAAAAAAGGCCTGAGTCAAGTACATTAAAACTGAATAGTTCTTGTATACTCATAATAGCATTATTCACAATAGTCAAAAAGTGGAAACAACTCAGTGTCCATTGACTGATGAATGGATAAAAAAATGTTTACAATGGAATATTATTCGACAATAAAAAGGAGTGAATACTGAAACATGCTACATCATGGACAAACCTTGAAAACATTATGCTGAGAAAGAAGCCAGGCACAAAAGACCACATGCTACATGATTCCATTTAAAAGGAAATGTCCAGAATAAGTAAATCCATAGAGACAGAAAGTAGATAGGTGGTTGCCAGGCGATGGGGGAAAAGAGGAGTGGGGGTGACTGCTTTAATAGGTATGGGGTTTCCTTTTGGGGTGACTAGACAGTTCTGGAAATAGATAGTGGTGATGGTTGCACAGCATTGTGAATGTACTAAATGTCACTGAATTCTACACTTTAAAATGGTTACAATGGTAAATTTTATCATATTTATTTTACTGTATCCCCATGCATGCGTGCATGTGTGTGCACACATACACACACAAATAGTCATTTTATACCCAAACTCAGCAAGGACATTTTAAAAATGGAAAAATTTGGCTAGTCTCTCTCAAGAAGAAATGTAAAAATCCTGAATATCAATTAATTGAATACAGCAATAAATACAGAGAATAGTATATCACATTCAAATTGAGTTTATTTCAGGAATGCAAGGTTGGCTTAATATTTGAAAATCAATCAGTGTAATTCACCACATAACAGAAGGAAAAAGAAGAAAACTCACTGAGCATTTCAAAAGAAGCAGAAAAAACATTATTTTAAAATCGAATATCTATTCATGATACAAATTCTTAGCAAAGTAGGAATAGAAGGGAATTCTCTTAATCTGATAGAGCATTCTTAAGAAGTTACCACAAATACCATAATAGGTAGTTAAATATAAAAAGCTTTCTCCTTGAGATAAGGAATGAGACAAAGCTGCCTGGTATTACCACTTCTGTTCAGTATTGTACTGGCAGTCCTAACCAGCATCGTAAACACCTAGAGCCGTGAGAGGGAGAAGGGCCCTGCCAACACCTTCATTTCAGACTTCTAGCTTCCAGAACTGTGACAGAATAAATTTCTGTTGTTTTAAGCCATTTAGTTTGCAGTAATTCATCATGGCAGCTCTAGGAAACTAATGCAGTTAATGAAGATGCGCAGCAACCAGAACTGCTGGGGAGGGTGCCAGTTACAACCACCGCTTTGAAGCACTGTTTGTTAGTATCTACTGAAACTGAACATATGCCTGCCTTACAACTCAGCACTTCCACTCTTAGGTAATTACCCCCACAGAGTGCCATATGTTTACCATAGCAGCATTACTGGCATTAGCCCCAAACTGGAAACTACCCAATTGTCCATCAACAGCAGAAGGGATAAGTACCTTGGATGTTTATAAAATGGAAACTATATAATGATGGGAATGGAACTGTTGCTATATATGAATGTCGTGAACAACTCTCACAAAAATGATGAGTGAAAGAAGCCAGACATTGAGTGTATACTGAGAACATACTATATGATTCAATTTTTTATAAAATTCTGGAAGAGGTAAAATTAATCTTTTGATATAGGATAATGACTAATTTTAAGGGAAGGTAGTGATCAGATGGGGGTGCTGGTTACATGAGTACATTTATTTTGTTAAAATCCATCAGTTATGATTTGTACAAATTTCTAGAGTGTTTATATTTAATAGTAATTTTTTTTTTAAAAGACCAAATGTTTTAACTTACTGGGACTTTTTGGCCCTTGACATCTTGTAGACTTTTTCCAAGTAGCTGCTGGTCCACCATCCTAACGTGGGATTCATCCACAAAGGACACATACTTTAATGTCTAGGAAAAGAAGGTTAAAAGTTTATCCATTTTTGTGTGGAATTACCAAGAATTGCCTATCTAAACATATCTAAAGGCGACTATTTTCCAATTTACAAAATGACAAACTGTTGAATAAGCTAACCAAATACTCTTGCTAACTGAGAATAAATTATTTCTGTGTCTAAAGATAAATCAGAAATGGAATCCCATATGCCTTCACTTGTACACTCAGCACATCCACAGCTTACTGCCTAATGTTTTTAGGTCCCCCAAGCACTATATGAAATTCCTTTATTGTGTTCCCTCAATTTAGTTGCTCTAGATTGAATATCTCCAGAAAGTCATACTATTGCAACTTAAATTACTTATATATTCATTAAATTTCATCCCGTTTTGGGCCATGAAATGGTAACTATTTTTAGTCACAAAGATGAACTTTTATTTTAAACTGCAAATATATGTACAGTAGACAAAGAATTGTGCATTCAACTGTTGGGGAAAAAAAGGACAGTAATGTTCTTGGATAAGGGACAAAGAAATCCTCTTTGTTGTTTTTAAGTACAAGAGATTTCTTTTTTTCTTTTTTTTTTTTTTTTCCTTTTTGTCTTTTTTTACTGACCGGTAACGGGATCGCAACCCTCGGTGTCGCGCCCGCACCGGGGACCAGCAACGGGATCGCAACCCTCAGTGTTGCGCCCGCACCGCGCTCAGCCAGTGAGCGGGGACCGGTCTCCACATGGGATCTGAACCCTCAGCGGGAGCGTCGCCGCACTCCCAAGCGGCGCACTCTCCAGTGCGCCACCAGGCCGGCCCCAAGAGATTTCTGATTGGGGGAAATAATTGAGTCAAGTGCAGAGGACCTGCTTAGTAAGGTCCAAATTAATCAAAACAATACAGATGAAGCTAAAATTCCCCTTGACTACTCCCCCACCCTAGGCTCCTTTCCAGAAGCAACCACTACTACTGCTTTTGTGTGTGTCCAATACCTTTTTGTATACATATATATACCTAGATACACATGTATATGTGTGTGTATATGCTTGTATAGATTTTAAATGTACTTGTAGAAAATATATAGAATTAGTTCATGTGTATAGTTTTAAAAAATTTTTATTTATTAATATTATATTTTGCATCCTAAGATGTGGAGCAGTTGGGGGGGGGAGGAGGAGAGGGGAAAGGGAAAGGAAATAGGGTAGGAGGACTAAAAATGAGGGGGAATGTAGGGAAAGTGAAAGTAAATGGTCAGGGGCCGGCCCGGTGGCGCACTGCTACAGTGCGCTGCTTGAGAAGCGCGGCGGCGCTCCTGCCGAGGGTTCGGATCCCACATACAGACCGGCCGCTCACTGGCTGAGCGAGGTGCGGGAGCAACACCGAGGGTTGCGATCCCGTTGCCAGT